AAGAAATAAAGGGATACAAATAGGAAAGGAAGATGTCAAATCATCCTTATTTGCTGATAATATGATACTATATATTGAAGACCCTAAAGCTTACCCAAGAAAGCCCTTAGATATCATAAACACTTTCAGAAAAATAGTGCTACAACAATCAACATAAAATGTAATTTTCCCATGCATCAATATCGTGTTAGGAATGAAATCAGGAAAATAGTTCCATCTACAATAGCTTTAAAAATACCCAAGAACAAATATAATTAAGAAAGTAAAAGATTTTTACAATGAAAAATTTTAAACTTTTAAAATTTATTTTTATGAGTGTGTGTGCATGTGCATGTACATGCACACATGCATGCACATGGGTACATGTAGCTGTGGAGGCCAGAAGAGGGCATTGGGTTCCCTGGAGCTGGAGTAAGAGGTGGTTGTGAGCTGCTCCATGTAGGTGCTGGGAACTCAACTCTGATTCTCTGCAGGAGCAACAAGTGCTTTAAATCACTGAGCCATCTCTCTAGGTCCTTAATAATTTTTTAAAACAAAACAAAAATACACTTTATTGTCATTCTGAGATTCTTCTGTGGATTTTTTTCTTCTTATATTTTGGGTGTTGGTAATATATTTTGTATATATTCTTAAGTAATAAAATATGATTGAGACTACACGTTATTATTTTTTGGACTTGCAATCTCCATTAAAATACCAATGATATTTTTCAAAGAACTATCTAAAACCAATACTAAAATACATGTGAATACATGAAAGATGCTGAATATTCAACACAATCCTGAGTAAAAAGAACACTGCTGTACATATCATAATATCTGATTTAAACTTATACTACAAAGCCATAGTAACAATACTGTATACCACTGGTATAAAAGCAGACAAGTAAATCATCAAATAGAACAGAAGACAGGTAGAGTCATGTACCTTTATGTGGAAGTTGTTGGAAAAATTGGCAATGGTAAAAGGTTTCTGAATCGATCAATTATGGAAATATTTTCATGTTCCCATTACTCAACATACACTAAATAAGTATATCTTTGCATTGTATTGTGTTGGAATACTTGATTTTAAATATTGCTGCTTGAATTAATGACCCAAGTTCATAAAAAGTGTTAAATAATTTTGGATGGATAGAATTTCCAACAATTTCTGACATAGCCCTAAACAAAATTCTTGCACTCTGTATCATGTATTTATGTGAAGTAGCTTTCTCAGCACCAACAATTATAAAAATCAAACAACTGATCAACTCTGCAAAGTGATGATTCTCTCTATAGATTAATTATTTAGCCAAGATTTAATTCTTTAAAAATAAGGATCAGTAGCTGGGCGTGGTGGCACATGCCTGTAGTTCCAGCACTTGGGAGGCAGAGGCAGGTGGATCTCTGTGAGTTCAAGGCCAGCCTGGTCTATATAGTGAGTTCCAGGACAGCTGGGGCTACAGGGAGACCCTGCTTCAAAAAGTAAACAACAACAACAACAAAAGGATCAGTGAGATGTTTCAGCAGGTAAAGGTGCTTCCTGCCATGTTTGACAATCTTAATTTGATCCCTGGGACCAACAAGGTAGAAAGAGAGAACCGACTCCCATGAGTTGTCTTCTGACTTCCACAAGCATGCTGTGGTATACATGAACTCACACACATAGACAAAAAGTAATTATAAAAATTTTTAAATAAAATAAACAAGCAGTCCATCTTATTAGTATGTAAATTTGCCTTCATCTTTAACAAACAGTACAATTATGTATGTATCCAGAAATTGTTTCAAAATAAATTTATGATATATACTATTAGTAAATGCTTGATTTATATACCTATTTTATACTATATAATTCCAGGTTCTTGTAAAAATTCCTCATATGTCAAGGGTCATGCATGAATAAAGTTGAAGCATCTCTGGAGTAGAGGACACAGAATTAAATCAACACAGCTACCACAGCCTGATTTTTATTAAAAATTCTCAAAACATCCGTTGAAAAAAAGCCTCTTCAATCAACTGTGCTGAGAAAATTGGGTATCCACATGCAGAAGAATAAAACTAAATTTCTATCTCTCCCTCTGCAAAAAAATCAGTTCAAAAAGAATCTAAGACCTGACACTCTGAAACTGGCATAAAAGCACAGGGAAATCACTTGAATATATTAGCAAAAATAAGACTTCCTGTGAGGCCTCCAAAAGTTCATGAAATAATTACAAGAATTGACCAATGGAATTGAATGAAATTTAATAACTTTTTGTATAGCAAAGAAAAAAAGTGAAAAGACAACCTATAGAATTGGACAAAATCTCTGATAACTATAAATGTCATAGAGGATTAATATTTAGAATAAAGAGCTGAAAAACTAAATGCTAAAAAATCAAACCATCTCATCAATAAATGGGCTAAAGAAATAGACAGTTCTCAAATGATAAAGAACAAATGACCAATAAACATGAAAAAATGTTCAATATTCTAGCCATCTGGAAATGCAAAATAAAAATTACACTGGATTCTATCTTACCAAGCCAGAATTGTTATCTTCCAGAAAACAAATAAATGCTAGCAAGGATGCTGGAGTCAGGGACACTTACACACTGCCTGTGGAAATGTGAATTCGTTTAGCCACTATGGAAATCAGTAGAAAGGTTCCTCACAACACTAAAAACAGAAATTCCATATGATACAGCTATACTATTCCTGAGCATAATCCTGAAAGACTCTTAAGTCAATATACCACAGACATATTTGTATGTCCACATTTACTGAGAATCTATTTAGAATAGTTAAGTTATGGAATCAGTCTATGTAGTCATCAATAGATGAAAGGATAAGAAGTGAAAAGCTAAATTAGCATTATCTTCCATAAGCTGCCTTGTCCTTGGTGTTTTATCATAGAGCAGAAAATAATCTCCCTCTCTCTCTCTCTCTCTCTCTCTCTCTCTCTCTCTCTCACACACACACACACATGTACACGCACTCACATACAATTTCTTTTCTAAATCAACTGGAAAGACAAGCAGGTTATTGGGAGAATGGGCAAAGCATGGCCATTTCACATTTTTGCATAGGATATAATAGAATAGAAAAAAACATAAATATATGCTTAATCTTGATAATTAGGAAAATGGGAAGCATTTAAGTTTGTAAGTCACAAGTGCAACTCATAAAACCTGGTGATACAACCTGAGAGGATGTTAAACAACAAGATCTCTAATTTTAAAACATTCCAAAATTCTGATAATATATAAGCTATGAAATTTGTCATTTAAAGTACTTTAAATACAGAATCCAGTGGCAATGTTTCACTCAGTTGTTGTATAACCATTATAGCCATCCATCACCACAGCTTTCTCACCATTAAAAAATTATTTATTTATTATTTTTATTTTATGTGTATGCATGTATTGCCTGCACGTAGGTAAGTGCACTCATGTCGTGCAATGCCCCTGGAGGTCAGAAGAGGCTGTTAGATTCCCTGGAACTGGAGTTATGGGCAGTTGTTAGCTACCATGTGGGTGCTGGGATTCGAACCTGGGTCTTCTGCAAGAACAACCAGTGTTCTTAACCACTGAGCCATCTCTCCAGCCCCTCTCACCATTTCTTATAGAATTAGTTTTGGAAAGTCATTTGATAATTGGTACTGTCTATATCTGATGTATTGGCATAAATTTTTTCATTAACCTCTCTTCTCTTTGTGCTTTTGAGAAATTGGTAGCAATGATCCCTCCATTGCTTCTTTTTAAGAAATTGAGCTTTCTTTCTTTTTACTCAATAACTCTTGCTTTATAAAGGCTTGTCAATACTGATGCTTCTTCAAAACTAATCAGTTTTTTTGTGCATTCTGTATGTTATTCAAGTTTGCTCTATATAATTTTCTTCATTTAGACTTTATTATATATTTTCATATATGCATTGATTTTGGATTTTGTCATAAGTCTTTCAGTCTCTGTTCACCATTTAATGTTGTTTTCCTATTTCTTAGACTAGTAATGTCAAATGTCCTATCATTAAACCATGTAGAATGAATGTATGCCAATACATTGACAATATTCAAAAAAAGTGTCACACATAGGAATTTTATTCAGTTATAAATAAGAATGACATTATGTCATTTCCTGGAAAATGCTTGACTCATAAGGACAAATATGATTTTTCTCATTCATGGTTCCTAGATTTTTCTATAGACACAAAATCATTTATATATAATCAATTATATGTAGTAAAAATCATAAAATCATATATATACAAATATACACCTATATGTATTAAAATAGAAGTGAGACTGTTTGAGGAAGGAAGGGGACTAGAGGACTAAAGGGAGAAGGTAGAATCTATGGAGGTATTTTGTTAGAGTGTATGATATCCTTGAATGAAAATGTGAAGCCTACTACCATGTAACATGAATGTATGCCAATACATCAAAAAATTGTGAAGCCTACTACCATGTAACATGAATGTATGCCAATACATTAAAAAATTCTTTCCAATTTTCTCCCATGGATAGTGGCAACAAGTGAGGAAGAAATATTTATTAGACACAAGTTACACTGGAAGTAATGGGAAGCACTAAAGTCTACCAAATTTTGTTTCCTGGTTGCTATGTTAATATAAGTTAGGACTACTTTCTCTGGCTATGAGCCATGAACCTCAAAAGTAGTTCTGAATGAAACTTCTTGGGGTTAAAACTAAGCTTGCTAAGCAAAGTAGGTACTAAATAATGCCAATCTAAATTGTCATGTATCCTCCAAATTTTCTGCATTGTTTATCTTAGAGTAGTCCTTCTGAGCTAGTAAGACAAGGCAATATAAATACTGAGGGCACTATGAACCTGGAAATTGAGAGAAGTTCAATAGAAAGTTAGGTAAATGTAAAATCAAGAAAAAACACTACACTGAGACCTAGAGTCATAACACTGAAAAATTTGGTATGCATGCATGATCCCTTACTACAGCTGTAATAGAGGATAAGAATTTACATTATTTCTTTATCTTTACATGGCTTTTCACAATTACTTACATCTTTTAAATTAATGTTATCAAGATCACAGTTGCTTTGTACTATTTCAACCAACCAGCCTTCTGGAGTAATCATGTTGAGAGTTAGAAGGTGTGATTCAGGGATGTCCAGGAATTTTGCCACTGGTCCATGTGAAGGATTATTATCAGTCCCTGACATCAGCTCCGGTTCCAGAACAAAACGGTAAAAGCTGTTAATAAAATAAAAAATATTGTGACTAAAAGTAAAATGATTATGTCTCAAAAAACTTCAAATTTCAGAGGCTGGAGAGATGGCTCAGCGGTTAAGAACACTGTCCTTGCAGAAGACCCAGGTTTGAGTTACAGCGCCCACATGCCAGCTAACAACTGTCTGAAACTCCAGTTCTAGGGGATCTGACAGCCTCTTCTGTCCTCCATGGGCATTGCACAACACGGGTGCACTTACATGCATGCAGGCATAATACTCATACACATAAAATAAGAAATAAAATATTTAAAAACTTCAAATTTCAAAAGGATTAATGACTATAAAGTCTTAAATCAAAAAGGCTAAATATACCCTATATCTCACAAGAGTTGATGCCTGTAACATAAAATATAATTCATTCATGAACATTATTATCTTTTATATGATTACATATTACATATTCATTTCTCAATGAACATAATTAGAATTTCTTTAAGATATATCTGACTTAGGTAGGTTCTAATGGTATATATCTATAGCCACCCATTAATCCTTCACATTTGTTCATGATCCATGTTTTATCTATTTTATTCATCTTTACCATTATTATAAAGAGAAGTTTTAGCTAGAAAACAAACAAAATTTAAGTTGAAATTCTGGCACCAATTTTAAATGCTTGACTCAAAACAAACAAATGAATTAAGTTAAAAGCATCAGTTTAATAGAACATTTAGGCATAACTGTAATTTTATTGTATTTTAGCCTCATCCTTCAATATCATCATACTAAGAATTAGTCAGTTGTTAAGAATAGTGTGAGCTCCCAAGTCTCAATGGGGAAGAGGAACAGGGCTAAGGGAATGAGAGATGCAGGTCTCACTACTGACTGGATGGAAAATGCCCTCAAGTTGCTTGCCATGAAGGGCCTCTCCACCATGCTTTGTGAGAGAAATTAGCTAGAGCCAGAGAGAGAAAGTCAGTAAGACACAAATGAATCTTTTATAACCTAAGCTGCAGAAGAGCTATTCTATTAGTTTGGCCATATTTTGTTCACAAGAGCAGAGTCACTATGTTCAACCCTTACTCTAGGAGAATTTACACAATGTGGCTTCCAGGTGATGGTGATCACTGGGAGACATATGCAGGAAGGCATATTTCAAACAAAAGAAAGGAGACAAAAAGAAAACAAAGCCATGAAGTAAACACACAAAACAAGTACTCAGTATGCAAATGCAGTCTAAATGGCAAGGAAGAATTTTTTCAGGAATATTGCAAATGGAACTTTCCATAAGACATAGTAAAAATAATTTCAGTGGTAAAGAAGAAATTGCAGTCAAATGTAGTGAGATTTCAGTGAAGAATCATTGGAGCAAATTGTTACTCTTTGATGAAGTTTAGAAGAGAAATAATGAAGAAAAAAATCAACATTCCAGAACAGAGAAACTCAGTGTTAGAGGGGTGAGGGAGAGCAGATCTTTTTTTTTTTTGAATCAGTTCTGACAGGGTCTCCCTGTAGCCCCAGCTGTCCTGGAACTCACTACGTAGACCAGGCTGGCCTTGAACTCACAGAGATTTGCCTGCCTTTGCCTCCCGAGTGCTGGGATCAAAGATCTTTTTTAAGGGAGTGATTCTAGATAGACTGACTAGACTACAGTGGATGACACCTGGATAGAAATGCTTGACCAGATAGGACTTAACATATATGACAGAATACTTAAATCTGGTTTGGGGCGGGGCTAGGGGAGTCATGGAGGGGGGAGGGGGAAGTGGTCTAAATTTGATTAAGATATATGAAATACACAAAACTCAGTAAAATATTAAAAATAAAAAGACTGAATAACTTTAAATAAAAAATTATATTTAGTATGTGCACATATTGCACATTTGGAAATCAGAGGATAACTTATGGGAGTTCTCTTCTTTTATCAAATGGATTATGGGGATCAAAGTCAGGTCATCAAGTGTGGTGGCCAGTGCCTTTACCTGCTGAGTTGTCTCACTGGCCTCCCCAAATTGACTTTTAGGACTGAGGGTGAAAGCTAATGTAAAGGTTAAAGATAAGGAAGAGAGAGAATATGTGATAAATGCAAGGGTCAAAGATAAAAGAAAAAGCATGGAATCAAACTAAGGAAGAAATATTTATCTTAAAAACCAGGAGAAATATGATATTCTTTCCACACAACATAGGAAGGGTAATAAAGACAGTATGAAGCTAAGGGAATCTTTGTCCACTACTTCATTTAGCTCTGAGGAAAAAAAATCAGACAATATTTACTAAAAGGACTAAAAATAAACATGTAAACTAATCTGACATGCTACAGAGTAAATGAAATTAGGCTAAATTAGTTGATTAAAAAATACTGTACATGCTGAACAATATCTAGTACTTTAGGCATTATTTCTTCTACAGAAGTCAAATTCTTTCCCTCCCAATATTCAATATTGCCATTTTTCTTATTTTTTAAAGATTCTTTTGTTTAATTTTAATTATGCAGTGCCCATGGAGGCCAGAAAAGTGCAGTACATCTGGAGCTGGAGATACAAGCAGCTGTGAACCACCAGTCCTGGGTACTAGGAGCTGAACCCTAGTGCTCTGCAAGATCAACAAGTTCTCTTAACCTCTGTGATCTCTCTCCAGCTCTCAATATTACTATTCTTTTTAATTATTGTTTTTATTTTATGTGTATGAGTGTACTGTCTGCGCATATGTGAGTGCACTTGTGTCGTGCAATGCCGTGGAGGTCAGAAGAGGGCATCGGATTCCCCTGGAACTGGAGTTAAGGACGGTTTATAGCCACCAGGTGGGTGCTGAAAATTGAACCCAGGTCCACTGCAAGAGCAGTCAGTGCTCTTAACTGCTGAACCATCTCTCCAGCCCCAGCATTACTATTTTTCATTATGTATTCCAATATTATGCATTCTAAGCATTATAGTGATATTCTGAAGAGGACGTCCATTCTTGTGAATAAAAATTCTTTGCCTTTCAATTAGTGGCTAAAATATTTAGTGCTTTTGTTCAAATGTAGTGATAAAATTAAAAATACATAAGAAGCCAGGTATGGAAGGGCAAGCCTTTAATTCCAGCACTTGGGAGGCAGAGGCAGGCAGATATCCTGAGTTCTAAGTCAGCTTTGTCTACAGAGTGAAATACAATCCAGCCAAGCTACATAGTGAGACCCTGTCTTAAAAAATAAGATACAAAAGAAAAATGAAAAGCATAAAAAATGAACATGTTATAAAAACAAGTGTTAAGAGGTCAATAAATGAGTCCTCCACTTTCGATTTTCCACATTTTCAATTTTATTGTCTTCCCAACATTAAAAATTCCTCATTTAAAGTATCTATTCTAGGCAATAATGTACAGTGTATCAACTACAATATATGTGAAAAGTAAAAAAGAGATTAACTGAATGCTACCACTCTGTTGTGTATCTATGAATGTATGTTTTATTTAGAGTTATATAATTAAATGCTTCAGAAAAAAGGCACAATGAAAAACCTACAAAGCTACTTTAGTCCAATAGGATGGATATACCTTCTTCCTGGCCAATGATAGCAAAAGGATATCGAATATTTCTATCAGTAAGTGTGATTTACAATGATACTGATTCTGATCCAAAAGGAAGAGGAAGCGTGTATTAGGTATTATTTAAAATAATAATAGTTCAGTTAGGTATTATTTTAAAAAAATCACAGAATTAATGAGAAATGTTTGTTCACAATAATAAACATATACATTTCTGAATCATCAATAGATTATTCTACACTAATTTCATCTAAACATCCTCAAATAGTGAATGTGAAGATATAATAGAGATCACCTTGAAATTTCGGTCTGAAAAAGTATTGACAAAATAGTTAAACCAAAAATGCTTTCAATTTACCATATTCCCTCCTTGAAATACTTCTCAATAAGTATTCCTAGACCAAATTTCTAAAACATACCTATGAACAAATACAAGCCTGTACAAAATTCTGTCATAAGATCTACTTACTAGGTCACATTATTTTAGTTTTACATTAATTTAAGGCAATAAACTGACTTTCTGATATATACAAATGAAGTATCTAATGAAGAACAGAAAAGGTTAATTAAAAATGGGCTCTTTTCTTATATATGCAAATATTTAAAATAAAATTATGTTCAGTCCAACTCACCTTTCCAAAGGGGCTTTTGAAAGCTTGCCTTTGCAGTTCATGAACAGCTTTATCTTCATGTTTATAATCTTGCCAAGTACCTATTAAAAATTCCCATACTTGATTTTCAAGGAACGTTAATAACATTTATTGAGCATGTATTATGCACTATACATTGCATTAATGCTTTGCATTCATTGTCCGTTTGATACTCATAACATCTTTCCACATATATGTGAAGCACATGAAGATTTTGCCCAGGGTCATAGTAAGTCACAGAAGAGGTAAAGACTAGAATGTGAATGATTTCAGTGCCTCATAGTCAACCTAGCAGGTTTTTGTTTAAAATAACTTTCTTTCACAGTTTTTAAATTTTCTTAGCATTTAAGAACAAGTAAAAGAATTATTGGAACCTGACTTGCAAACACAAATTGGTAGCCTCACAGCAACACTGCCCAGGGTACTTGGATCTTTTAGAATTTTAAGAGGTGTAGAAATTTCTTAGCAATATACAGATAAACTACTCTCATTTTCTTTCATTTGTATTGCCATGAGATAAATAAGAAGTTGAAGAAAATAATTTTGCTCATTGACATCTCTACATAAGCAACAAATCATTGATGATTTGAAGCTTTTAGTCAACAAAGGAAATAGGTGAAAGTAGAAACAAAAAATACACGTAACACAAAGGATACAGATTGACTTAATGAAGAATTAGAATATATAGAGATTACATCTAAGAACTTAAATGTATTAATTTACATTTTAAATTTAATTTGAATGTTTCAATTTCATAAGTAAAAAATAAAGTCTCTCAGAAATAAAGTATGCTATTATTATAATCAAGGGTGTAAATGGAAGTTAAATCTCCATATTTTATCTCTGCATTTCCATATTTATTAATCCTAAAGTTTAACTTTACAGAAGTTTTAAATTTATTTCTATTTATTTCTATTTCTATTTATTTCTATTTCTATTTATTTATTTACTTATTTATTTATTTATTTGTTTGTTTGTTTGTTTTTGAGACAGGGTCTCTCTGTAGCTTATTTTTTATTTATTTGTGTGTGTTTGTGTCTGAACGTGGATATATATACACATGAGTCCAATGCCTGCTGAGGCCACAAGAAAGTGCAAATCCCTTGAAAAGTCTCCCTACACGTGGTTGTGAACTGCCTGACCTGGGGCTGGGAAACAAACTCAGGTCTTCTGGAAGAGTAGAGAATGCTCTTAACCACTGAGCCATCTCTCCAGACACACTTTACATAAATTTTAAATGTAAAACAATGTTTTCTTCTGAATAATGATTCTTCACTATACTAAAAAGCAAGAATAATCTGAGTATTGTATCTCAAGAAGTTAAGATATGAAGAGTATACAAATGTTAAGAAAGAATGGTAAAACAGTCATGAAGCTGTTTGTTCTGTTCATATACTTAACAGATACAGTAGAAAAGCCTAAAATTATTGTGGATATTAATAAACATAAAAGTATTTATAATAAATTTCTTCAATATAATTCTTTTAAAAATTTCATTAAAATATTATTTTTATTTTATGTGTATGAGTGTATTGCCTATTGTGCAGTATCTGCAAAGGTCAGAAGAGGGTGTCAGAGCCCATGGAACTGGAGTTACAAATGGTTGTTAGCCACCATGTGGGTGCTAAGAACTGAACCCAGGTCCTCTGCAAGAGCAGTCAGTGCTCTTAACTGCTGATCCATCTCACCAGCCCCTCAATATAATTTTCTAATGTTTGAGAAAAATTAAATGTGAAATTTTGATAGTATATACATCAATATCACCTAGCTTGATCACTTACATTATTCATCAGAAGTAAAGCCAACTGTCCATGGACTTTCCAGATATGTCTTAAACAAAAACTATTTTATGTATATATGTGTGTACCTGTATTATAAGGGCACCAAGTGTGTGCAGGAGCCTATGGAAATCAGAAGAGGGGTTCAGATTCCCAGAAACTCTAGTCATAGATGGTTGTGAATTGCCATGTGGATGCTGAGAACTGAACTTGAGTCTTCTGCAAGAGCAGTAAATGCTTTTAACTGCTGAGCCATCACTCTATCCATAATATATGTCTTAAAGTGGCTTCTAATAAGAATATAACAAAATTACTGATTATGGTGGCACACACTTAGTCCCAGATCTAGGGAGGCAGAGACAGGCAAATCTCTGTGAGACCAAGGCCAGTCTGGTCTACATAGCCAGTTCCAGGCCTGCTGGGAATACAGGGACACCCTGTCTCAAAACAAAACAAAACAAAACAAAACAAAACAAAACAAAACAAAACAAAACCAGAACAGAACAGAACAGAAAGAACAGAACAGATATCTGTCAAAATTGTGAAAAGTCACCAGAAAAATATGTAATCTTCTAATATATCCAAACTTAACTTTGGAAAGATGCACTATAATTTGTACCATTTATATTCTCAGAACTTTTGTAGATGGCTAACATTACAATTACATAAATTACAATTAATGTAATTTCTAACATTCCTCTCCTTCCCTCAGTCCTTTATTCCTCCCTCCCTCCCTTGTATCCCAGTCTGGCCTTAAACTTTAATCCTCCTGTTTCACCTTTCATATGGTTGGGATTATAGACTTATTTCAAAACACCTAGCTTCTTCTGTTTTCTAAGAACATTTGAGCATTATTATGACCACAGTTTCCATGCTCATGTTACTCATTATGTGCAGTCTGATGTTAGCTAAGCAAAGAAAGAAGGAAAATAGAACTTTGGGGTTGTGCCTTTGTTCTCCCTTTTATGCTAACAGTAATACAAGGATGATGCAGGGAGTATGACAAGGGATCTTAGATTACTAGACAGTCTTCAGTAGTGAGTAGCTAGATGAGACAGTAACTTCATTTTGTTGAAGGTACTGTTATTTTGTCCCTTGTTATAGAAGCAAATGAACTGGGCACAGTCTCTATGTTCCACCTTCCCTGAGCTTTGCCTATTTGGCTAACATTACTTACTGCACTTTAAGTTTCACCAAAATACAAATAAATACCAGATTTCCCAAAAGGCATTGTTCACAACCTGGGGGGAGACACCCCTATTATTTGTTCAGGCTGCCATAACAAAATACTATAGACCAAGTGTCATAAACTATAGAAATTTATTTTCTTGGAGTTCTGGAAGCTGAGTAGTCAAGGCCTACTGATTTGGCTTCTGTGAGAACCCTCTTCTTGGTCTGAAGGTAGCTGGCACGTTGATATCTCACCTGACATCTTCTTTGTGTGCTCAAGGAGAGGGACAGAGAGTCAGAGAAAGAGAGACAGAGAGTGCTCAGATCTACCAGTCTCTACTGAAATATATCTATTAAAATGTCCTATGTAAATCAAGCCAGTCAAATTCCTAGCATGGGGTGTGTGCAGGTGAGTAAGAAGCAACAACCCTAGTTGAAGAACTACTGGCAATGGATAGAGCTGCTGGGAGAGGAAGAGTCAGATTTCTTTAAGGGTATGATACTGAGGAGGTTGACCAGGCTCCAGGGGATGATGGACCCACATTTGAGCACAGAAATTAGACTTGACAGACATTAGTAGTAGTAGTAGTAAGAATAATAATAACAATAATAATAAATGACATAAATTGGGGGGGGTAATAAAGGGAGAGCAGATGGGAAAGAGGGGGGGTCTAAATATGATCAAAATACATTGTATGAAATTCTCAAAAATTCAATAAAAATATTTTCAATGTTAGATGATGTGAAAGACCAAGAACACAAATGCTTCATTACACTTAAAAACAGGCATGAAAAGTCAAGTTTCAAATTGAAAAGTTTAGTCTAATTTATATATTGTCTTACAACCAATAGCTGTGCCATCTTCTGTGCTTCTCTTGTCAAAGGATCAACAATAGCAATAACATCAAAGAACACATCATTCTCTTGGGGATTTATCTTTATAACACTACAAAACAGAAAATAAAGATAAAACATGATAGATTACATTTATACAGCACATCCATAATCATGGTGTTAGCTCTGCATTGGCTTACGAATTACCTTCTACCCCTTCTGTAAAAAAAAGTCCTGGTTATTTCACATAACAAAATGCAGTTTTGGAAATCTGTGTGCAACAAATTGTAAAGCTGTAGAGAATATGAGAAAATGACATATTTTATGAAAATGCAATTTAAAATACCATTTAAAGAATACTATTACAGCAAAAATTCTGATAGTTTTAGTTTTCAAATTTCTCATGGATTTATTATGTGAAAATAAAATCAGTATGCTTTTGTGTTGGTTGAATATATTTCATCGGGGAATTAACTATTCAGTATTTTTATTAAGCTAGGATTGCAGAAAATCAACATATTACATTGAGAAGTTCAAGACAAAACACACTCAAATAATCATACTTTAGGTCTCCTCTCCTTACCTACTTCCCTTTTGTCCCTTCTGTTTTGTTTCCCACTGATTTAAATTCTAAATTATGAGATGGGCTAATCTTTAAAGGAATGTAGGAAGGAAATTACCAATGGGAGACAATTTGACATCTAATGTATTTAAAAGTTAATAGTATGTATATTGTTAGAAGTATAGGCTATCTAACTGAATTACTTTTGTAATACTATAACCATATACAAGCATTTTTTAAAGTGAAGGATGAATTCTTTATTTTGCATACAACAGAAGGAAAATGCTTACCAAGTCAAGTGCTACACATGTGCAGTTACAGGAATATTAGATGGTTTTGATACAGAAAGGCAGTGAGATTGGTGCTCAACAATGAAATAAAAGCTAATATAAATATTTAATTCAAATATGAGAACTAAGAGAAACTTAATTTTGCATGTAGTTATGATTTAATTTTATTAAAGTAAGAGTAGGAGGTCAGACAACAGATACTGTTGGATGATTATTACTAGAAATAAGGGTTACAAGTTAGATGCTCTAAAAGTAAGACTGTATAGTTTCTTCTGCTTTTGGTTATCTTGTAAAATGTCTACAAATTACTGTTATATTTCTAGCAGCCATAGAACCTCATCCCTTTATGGCTGCTTTATAATTTGTTATGACTTAAGTGCACATCTATCTCCTGCCGCTTAAAATTTTTACCAGACAACTCCCACTTCTATAAGGCTGTATTATGTTTTAGTTTCATAGACGTTATCTAACAAATGTAGTATGAAAGACAGTTTTCTGAACTGAGTACGGTACTACACAGCAATAAGCCCAGCACTCAGGAGGATGAGAAAGGATGATCATGAATTCAAGGTCAGCTTGAGCAACATAGCAAGTGCGGGGTTGGCCTCGGTTACATAGTGAGATCCTGCCTCAAACCAACCCTTCCAAAAATTTCTGAGCCTATTAGAAGGTATTACACTGATTGACTCAAGAATGGAAGTAAAATATCCTTTTTTCACCTACAATATTAGCAAGATGCTTACTCAATCTACCTTTGGAGTTCATCAGTTCTTATAGAAAGACTGATCATATTACAACAGGTCACAGCAGTGAAAACATTGAGTCGTATTTTATGCTATCAATTTATAAAACAGGCCAGGTCTTCTATTTTAAGGGTTCTGATAAAGACAGTGTTTTTTTTTTTTTTTTTTTTTTTTTTTTTTTTGAGACAAGGTTTTAGTATCGTTTCTATAAAAGTTCCTTAGAGAAATTTGCCTTCCCTCTAAGAATAGTTACACCTGAATGATGACTTTATTTTTATTTCTTGTGCTGCTGCTAGTAGGATGGAAATTACTGCAGCAGTCTGGAATGCCTCCTTCAAGACACTGCACTGTACACACACAGCTTATGTTTGTCACTGTGAGATCATGAAATAATGAGGCAGTAAGTTACAAGCTAGTTTTTTTCTTCTTACAAAAATCTTAAAGCAGAAAATCCATGGTTGGTAGAAAAGGAACAGGGTCATAAAGGTTCAACACGAGATCCTTCAGGGCAGAGAAAATGGATAATTGCGTTGTTCTTTTGGTCAGTTTACTCATTATTTCATCTCCTTCTCCCTTTTCTTTCTCCTTTCTCAAGCCTTTTAATGTTAGCTACTTTTCCAGATTTGAACATTGTTATTAACCAACTTAAAGTTTAGAAGGAGGAATTAAAATGATCAAGCATATTAATATAGAAATAATTTATAATACCCATTTTAACTTTTTTTCAGCATTAAAAGGTGACTCCATACATACATGAAAGAAGAGCAGCAAAGATACAATGCTGTGTATAAAAATATGATTATCTCCCCAAAAGGCTGTATACGAATGCATTTTATATGAACACAAAAGTATATACGTGTCCTCCTAAATAACATGCATATATAAATACAGAATGAATTCTGGTAATTATTAAATTGAAATGAAAAATTACTTAAAATATTTGTTCATCTCTGAAGTACATTAACTAGTTTCTGATGGTTACCAGTATCCTTTTAAATTAACAAGCTACAGTAAACACTATTTGAAGACACACACAAATGACCTTAAGAACAGGTTAGTCTTTTTGATTAATAAGAACTCCTTAGTTACTATATCTTTCATATACTGAAATTTTGACAGTATTATGTATATTCAAAGACACTAAACACTAAAAATAGGGCTGAGTATGAAATACATATCATGTTAACTATAACTTAAAACTTTATATCCTTTATTATTTTCTAGAATATATAACTGTATTTCTTGCTTATATGTGTCATGTGGTACTAGAAATCAAACACAGGGCCTCATATATGAAAGGGGAACACATCCTCTACCACTGAGCAAATAGAGAATTTTAAATTCTACTTTTAAATCTTACCATGCTATTAAAAGCAATGGAAGTAATGCACAAGTGGAAATAATGCATGAAATAATACAATTATAGGTTAAAAAAAAAAGCCCAGACACTATTACATTCTCACCTGTGATTCTCTTTAAGTAATGAGACATTATACCGAGATGCACGCGTAGGCAAAGATGAAACAAGGGAATCAATTTTCATAATAAGGTCACTGATGCTAGATGAGCAAGGCAAGAGAATGTGTGAGACTTCTATGAAAAGTCCATATTTCATGTTATGGTTAACAACTCTAGAGAAGCGTTCTCTCTCTCTCTCTCTCTCTCTCTCTCTCTCTCTCTCTCTCTCTCTCTCTCCCTCCCTCCCTCCCTCCCTCTCTCCTCTCTCAACATAGTTAAAGTTCCTATACTACAGAAGTAAGTTACAAAGAGAATGTACAGTATAATAGCATTTCTCTGAAAAAGTCAAGACACTAAACACAATGAACACTGATAGTGGATATTTACATCTGAAGCCAAAGTACAAATAAAAAATAGGAGACTCATGTATATAGCCTTTAGAAAAGGGTTCCTTCCTCTTGGAAAAGGAAAAGATGGGGCTAGGTAGATACAAAATGAAGTCAGATTCATCAAACAACATTAACACCCAGAGTTGGGTCATGGTGAATAAATAGATGTGATTTATTATCTATCTTCTCTGACTTTATTATGTATCTTTACTTGTCTAATATTTGAATCATTTTTTAACCTTAAAATATTTGTGTAATGTCAAATAACAAAATGAATTACTTTTATGTTTTAAAATACTTAACGATTTTGAGTTGAATTCCATACTTTCAGCAATGTCCTTAATTTTCTCTACGGAATTACTAAATGTTATCTTTTCAATCAAGTGAAAATCTTCTTTGTAGACCTCTTCATTTAAAGGTCCTAAGAACTGAAAATGAAGATAGTTTTTTGTTGAGTATCTTCTAGAAGACAATTTAGGAAAATTTTCTTTGTTAAACAAAATTTTCATGAGGTCTATTCAAATATACCACCACCACCACCACAGTCAACTCTACTTACATGAACATTTTCTGAAGAAGCTATTTACACCAAACCACCATTATATCATATATATAAAGCCCTAATGTAGAACTTGGGACTGATCTCATTTTATATACAAACACTTATATTTAATGACAGAAATCATGTCAACCAGACAATTGTTGTATTTTGATAAAAAGATTAGATTCCTTGTTTTTAGAAGAGACTCACACCTCCCCTCCATCTGCATATGAAATTAATGTCTAAAATTTACTACAGTATAGTTCTTGAATCTTTCAAATGTGATGCTAGCAGTCAAATACCATGTTTCATTTTAAATATAACCACAAGATCTAACACAAAAGTGGGCATTGTAACACTAAGAGCACTCAAACATTTTCTTACCTTAAGATTTGATATAAATTTAACATAACTTGAAAAGCAGTTTCAGTGGGTTTTTTTCACACTAAGTACACAGGATTGGAAAAGAGTTGAAATATATATACCACTTTCAGTGACTTTCGAAGTTTTATATTAGTAGCTAAAAATAGGGCAATCCTTACCCATAAGGCTCAGGGAACCTCCTGGAAGGTCTTGAAGATTTTAAGGGTCAGGGGAGCAGAACATCAACCATTAAACAGTGTCTCCTAGACATGAAAGGGAAGCTGAACCCATGAAATCCCAACAATATGGTTGCCTAAACAAGACCTGCATAATGACATCAGCTGACATGCCAATATGTGTAGGGAAATTTCAGAAGGTCCTGCTTCTAGATGAAGAGCTACAGGCAATTAATGGCTTTTTAGAGAGGGAGAATCAGTTTTCTTCGGGGACATGCTCCCTGAGAGGTTATCCAGTCTTAAGTGGTCAGCCCTAAACACATGTATATATAAGCATCACTAAATCGACTCAGTATGTTTTTTTTGTGTATATATATATATATATA